AAATGCGAACTCCATTGCCACAGTCCTTATACTTTTAGCCGAATCGATAGTTTTTAGGGTTTTAAGGTAAAAACTGCTGTTTTGCGTTGTACGTGAAGACCAGTAAGCGATGTCTTCGTTATGGCGGACACAACACGGTATCCTGTGTATATCAAGACTAATCATGCTATAGTAATGTAAGGAAGTTTAGTTTCTTTACCCTCACTGTAAATGTATCAGAGCTTCTATGACGTCATCGCGGGCTTTTTGAAACTTTCGCAATACTGTGATCTCCAGAGCGCGCATACAGCGCCTTGACGTCAATCAAAATTTAAGAGAATCAAATCCAGTATACTATATATAGACAATGTTTGAATTTATTCCTTTATAAGACTTTGCTGCTTACAATATTTACAGATCTTTTAATGCCGCTCGTCAAGCTCGTCAATTGATTCGGTTGTGGTCACGTCCCKTGAGTCCTCTRAGTCTGACTTGTGGCAAGTCTACGCGGCATGCCTTTGACGTCAATCGCTTTGGTGCCAACCTTCAAGTGTTCGATAATGACTGTAAAACAAGCACTGACTGGTACACGTAGTGAATTCCCGTTATTTAAATGTGCGTCATCTATGCTGGAGATTGAGAACCGTCGTTTGTGTAGTAGCCTCAAAAGTGGCCGTTATATCGTGCGAAAATACACGATCGAAAGTTACCGTGGGTTTCYATAGTCACTTTTAATCGAGCACTGTAGACGTTCTCTCTTGCTACAATGAATCATTTGAACCTAATCGATCTTGTGTCAATCACTGTGAAAATGATGAAAAAGGGTCTATTTTCAACTAGATAACATAGTAAACTGGGTTCGTTTTGATATTAGCTGTATGTTTGCCATTGCAMAGATATAAATGTTGTATGAACGTGGGTGTAGCGGGTACTGGTTAAGGGGTGGTCTCTAGACAGCCTTACTTATAAACACACACTAGTCATAATCATTTCAAGACGGTCTTGAAGCAAAGATTGTTGTTATTACCATTTGACCATACTTTAAAACTTAAAGGTGAAAATAATCGAAATAAACTCGGATRACTCACCCAGAATCAACGGCTTACATTAAATGAAAACTAAATTGGCTTAAAAATGCTTTAAAATTGCTATAGATAGGGAAGCTTGGAGCCAAAGAAGCCTTAGAGTTGGCAATCAATAGGCGACCATCAGCGAGAAGGAGATTAAGTGATATAAGGCAGGATTTATAACCTTACTTTTTAGGTCTTTTCAGTGCCAAGTAAAGAACTAGAATTAGGATACAATCATTACATATATATTGATTGTACAAAAGTCTAAACCTGAACCTTTTCTGGATGAAATATGAATATAACAAGGAAAAGCTAAAATAGTTTATATGAATCAATCCACAAACATTTATAAATGCGAAAATTCTAGCATTAAAATCTAATTATAAACAAAATACAAGAACTTATATGAAGCAATTTGGTACTTTTTAAAGTTGCCATAACAGGTGCAAGATACCGTTTTTCCAACCTGTACAGTTCTCTTCWCTGCAGGAAAACTTTATCTTTCAAGTTCAGTTATTGCTGGTTGTGCTATTTTACGAAATGTATTGTTCAACTACAATGRAAGGACAAAAGTGTTTCTACTCCATCAAGTGTATATATGTATTATTTTCAAATCGCTAAGCTTGACACGGCGAAGATTAAATTGAGTTAAAGTTTACTTTTTGCATGCTCACTGAGAATGATGTATTTTGAATTAACAGAATATATAAATTTTTATTCAACTTATAAACATAACTGGTCATTTTAGTTTCGTAGCCGTTTGGAATAACAGATTCAAATCTAATAGTTGATTTTAAAATCTTTGGCGTCTAGTCTTGCTCTGACGCTCAGGAAGTTAAGATTCTGCCGTATTGTTCAAATATAGTTTCCAAGCAATCTCTCACACCCAAAACACTAGCTCTAAATTAAGCGATTTGGACATCGATTCTAACAAAATAACCCTCACAAAATAGACCAAATTATTCAATTTGGAACATAGAATATCGAAAATTTCTAAGCWATTAAAAAAGTATTATTTGCATTACGAAATTACATTCACGTACAGAGGAACCCTTGCGYCTTTCATTCAAGAGTTTGTAGGCAAATATTTCGCTGCTAGGAAGATCATGGTTTTGACCAATAGAAAACCAGAAATGTCACCATCTAAAGTCTATCAGCCAATCAAGAACCGTTGTCGAACATGGTACCTGCATCAGCKAGGCCCTTCTGATGAAGCTAGAATTAGATTAATACGATGATTAAGGCGTTGTAATCACAGCATAATTTGTTTAACTGAACTCCCGTTCATCTTGGAAGCATAAAAAAAGTCCAGAAGTGTAATTMAAGAAGAGCTAAAAATCATCACAATGGAAGCTGTAGGGCTGTCAGTGAAGGAGGACTCTTTGTTGGTTGGTAAGTCAAAACCATARCTTGTCTTTTACAGGGGAAGTGCACGTGAAAAGAGCAAAAACTGCATTCTTTTACTTGACAAATGCAGATCATCAATTGCAAACTGTACATCATATTCAAGCAAAGTTTSGCAATCGCGTTTTGAGAAATCCTTAAAAGCAATACTTGAAAAAAAATAAGACTCTTTACAGTTTTTTGACACAAGCCAAACCAGCGTCTAAAACAAAATGCATGCAAAACAAAAATTGCGAAATAAGAAACACCGTACAATATGCGTGTCTTTTAGGGAATTTTCTTAAACGTCAAAACCAATTTTTCTGTTTCTTTATGCATTTTCTCGGCTACGATCGAAATTCAGTGGTCTCTGTTCTTTGAAGTGTCGTATTTGCGACCTTTCAGCCGAGGGACTCGCCGTGATTTTGAACGATGAGCTTTATCTTCAAGAAGTCAGAACAAAGCTTTCCCATTCAAACTCACACTGGAGCTCCAATCAAACTCTGTTGTAGTAAGCTGCCCAATAGATTTGCCCTAGATTACACCAAGATAACCTCTGGGCTGGTAATTGGACGTGGAATCGCGCTTAAAGTAATAAAAAGTCACAGGACACACTACTAACATTTTCTCTCTCCGACAGACCGCAAACCTCTTATAACTTGTAAAGTTTGTGGCGACAGATCTTCAGGCAAACACTACGGTGTATTCACTTGTGATGGATGTCGTGGATTCTTCAAACGAAGTATAAGAAGGAATCTAACGTATCAATGTAAAGAGCAAGGCAATTGTATAGTTGATGTAGCGAGACGAAATCAGTGTCAAGCTTGTCGTTTGAAAAAGTGTTTCAACGTAAAAATGAACAGAGACGGTAAGTTTTTATCAGTACAGTAGTAAAATGTGCTTAATTGAGGGGTATTTACTGTATGTTGCTGGGGAGAGTAGAGTTAATGATGCGTGCAGGATTTCTGGGCGAGGTTGATAATCCCAACAAGTCAACCATGGAATCTTCATACAGTACTTTCTTGCCACAAAAAGAATGATTTTCGATTGTATTGTTTATAAAAAGGAAATCCCTATTAAGAGGTTCACTAGCTTGATGTAGGTTTTCGGGGAAAGTTGAATTAGTGAGTTTTCTTTTTTTGTGTCTCCACTTGTTTTTGCCGCGATCGCGTTCGCTTGATTGCACAAATCTTCTACAGTTTACACCCATGTAACATTTGTTTTCAAAATAAAAAAAATGTAATGATACAAAAAACTTAAATACCCCACAGCAAGCTGTACGACAAGGCATTTTTGGCATGACGAGATTTTTCTTTTCGGATTTTCGTTTTAGTTTCAAAATCCTCCTTAGATCAAGCGAGGAATAGCAATGACAACAGGGGCAATCTACCGTCACACTGCGACYAACTTTTACATGCAACGAAACAAAGCAAAAACCTTTTTAATCGGACGATTGCCTGATGTACACAAGGGCAACGCGTTCTGAACTGCGCCTAGAGAAAATAATTTGCGTCTGAAAGTAATTGATCACTCCTTTCCTAAAACATCTGCTTGAACGGCTCACAACTCTGCCAAAACGTGCTCCATCTATAATTAATAGCATGGTTATAGAAGAAAACCTGATGTATCAAAAAACCTGTACTATTTCAATAATATCTAACAGCGGCGTTAACAGAATCTATTGGATGCATGGACTAAATCATCATGGAGTTTGAATCGCACGAAACTTAGAAAAACTCACTTTCATGTGAAAAAAAGAGAAAATCGAAATAGATAACGACGACGCTAATTAGAACAAACTTCGATTGCCACAATCCAAAGAGATTCAATTTAAGAACGTCTCATATATCTTTTTAAATGCAATTTAAGCTTCAYAGGAGAACAACCTTGAAATTTTAATTTACCTGAGTTCAATTTTCTTTTTAGTAATAGTATTTCTGGCGATGTTAAAAAGAAGGAGTGATTGTTTTTGCACAAAGTTTTGTAAAGTTTTCTGTTAAGATTGCTATCTCATAATTAACAGATAGAAACAATAGCTCTCCCGGGAGTTTACAGTAAAACGGATATTAACAACGCGCTAACTAACTAAAAACTAGCATATTACTGGGAGAATCCTCGTATCCCCTAGTGTTATCCATGCAGGTAAAATGCAAATCACAATTCTCAAACAAAGTCCAAAACCACAAGACTTTTCCGAAACACGTAAATTCTTGGTTTCCTAAGACTTCAAAACCTTTGATATTTTGTTCAGTAATCTTCAAAGTTTGATTCAATGTGTAGTCACATATAAACTTTGGCAATGTACCAAAAATTGGTTTAAACTGGCCTTGACTTGACCGAAGCGCTGCTCCTACTAACACAACATTTGCGGGTGGCATTAATGACGGGCAAAGCTAATACAAAAGCTCAATGTTGATTGGCTAATGATTAAAAGTGACAGACGCATAAGCTGGTAGTTTAGATGAGTTAGAAAATCCACTGACAAATTGTAGGAAAACAAAATTAAGATGATTATCTTAGAAACGTTTCTAGCTACTAAACTATATTTTTCTACAAAAAAATGTTTTTCCGCACGTACTGTTGTCATGGTGCCGCGATTTGTCATGAAATGCGCTCTTCAAGGGACAAACAGGACTTACATAGCAACCTCTAGTTGTCTTTTATCCTGCCAATACTTATTAAAAAGCAGTTTTTTAAAGCAATGGTCAAACGTTTGTAGTTCCGCCATTTTACTTGAAGTTTGAGCTTCTGACGTTAATGAAAATCAACACTATATTTGCATAGTCCAAGAGGTATTGACCGAAACCGAGCCAAAAGCTTTGGAACTACGCCAAACATTGCGAATTGCTTAATATATAATCACTTTTGTGAAGCTTGTTTTATAAACAAAATAATGTAAAGATTGCCTCCAAAAGTTCCATAAAACTCTAAAAAATGCTTTTTGTTTAAGTTAACTTTAATCATGAATTTGAATATTTGCAGCTGTACAACATGAAAGGGCGCCTCGCTCAGCACAAGTTCTTCCACGAACCACAACCTCAACCACAATTGTAAGCCACACTTTCTGCGATCCTGTGCGAGAAAGGAATTCTCTTCCTCCTCAGAATCTTCCTCAACCTCCGAACCATGAACCCAAAGAGGAAAGAGACAACGAAACAAATCCGATTACCCACAGTCCTGCGCGATCAGAAACAAACTCATATTCACCTCCTGGCTCGCCCTCTCTGCAGTATCATGGGCAGAATAACAACGTCTCTCCTGATTCTTCGACAAAGAAAAACAGTTTTTTGTCCATTACAAGTCTTCTAGATTCAAAAGAGGGAAAAAAGAGTCCATCTACAAGCCAGGGAAACTCTCAGTCTTCTCCTAGAAATGCAGAGAATCCCATGAACTTTGACATGCCTCAAATGTACGAAGGACGACCAGAAAACGTGTACGAATCTGCTGTCCAATTACTGTACATGTCAGTGACCTGGGCAAGAAACATTCCTACATTTCTTGACCTTCCTTTCAGAGATCAAGCCATCTTGCTCGAGGAGGGCTGGAGCGAGTTGTTTGTGTTGAGCTCGGCCCAGTTCTCTCTGCCATTAGACATGGGGCCTTTGCTGTCTGCAGCTGGACTGCAAGTAGATAGAGCTCCTACCGACAAAATCGTAGCTGGAATGGCCGACATACGACTTTTGCAAAATATTGTTACGAGGTTCAAACGATTGCAGATTGATTCGACGGAGTATGCATGTCTCAAAGCTATCGTTTTATTCAAACCAGGTAAGGTTTTATTGTAAACTGATCCAAACCATACAACACGAGTGAACTACAAAAAACACGTATACAAAATAACTTATTAAAAGAATCTGTCTGACAGACTGTATTCATAAATTATTCATAAGATAAATGATTAAAGCAATATTTCTAACTCACTAAACAAACACAGAGAAGTTCAGCCTTTTAACAGTGCAGGGTTTAAAGCAGTACCACTTACTAAACATAATCAATATAGTTTTGCTAGAGTTTGGAAAAGTTAAAAGCCACGGTTCCATGCATGTCACAGTGGTTCCAAAGTGGTTAAATCATTGCTATTGACCATTGCCATAACAACCTGCCCATTCTTCGATAAATCAACAAAATACACTACCTGCAACACTTTTAGCTTTTGCTCTTTTGAACCAAAGTCTTTGCACTAAACAGCGTGGCTTTCAAATGACGGGTACCTGTGGGGCTAATGGAAAACGTTACCCCACAGTCTTTGTATTTTCTTTGGTTATACTGGTTATGAATTAACTTTATTCAGTTGCCAGGCGATCAAACATCACACGGTATTTTCAGACGGGTGGTTCATAGAAAGAAGACTTTCTAAAGACTGAAAATTCAAAGATATTTGAATCGATGTTACTAAGGAAATGGCACGTTAGAATTTTAGTTTTTTTTATGTAACGAGTTCTGTGAAGTTACCAAAATCACTCAGTGAAGAAATAGTCTGACAGCCCGTTTCATCTTCAACATCAAAGATCAACAYCAAAAAACGTGGTTTATRTGAAGAACGGGTCTTTTTTATTCTGTTTTCGTATAGTTATGATGAGACAATAAATGGATCTCGTCAATATCTCTTTGAGTCAATGAGCAGAGAGTTACAAATATTATAGCAGTTTCACAAAAAGTTACTAAGGAAAAGGTTTATGAGAGGTCAGCAAATACGTTACAAAGAAAATATATTTTTCAGTCGGAGAACTTGAACTTTTTCAGTCGTGCATCCAGGCAAAAGACGAGAAACAAATTGACTTTAACATCAATTATTCTTGTCAATCATTTAAAGATTTTGCGTGAGACGTGCCGGAAAAATGTTTAACCAAGACCACATGGCCGTTGAAATGAGCAATCAAGGGCTAATTAAAAGGCGACTCTTTGTTGCAATAATCAATGGWAACTATTCAATAAAGCGGATACGATTGCTGGTGTGGCAGGTCCTGTTTAAATGAATAGCTGCAGGCAATATCAAAAATCTCATGGTGATTTAAACGTATTTATGTARAAAAAAAGGTAGACAAAGACGAATTGTTTCCATAACTCATAACAAAACATTTCTACATAACGAAGAGACTAGGAAAACCGCAAAATGAACATCGCAAAAAATTTAAATATAGAAGAGCGTTTTCGCGAAGGAGCACATGTAGCGGTACATTGACGCAAGGTCTTTAAATATGTTTGAATTAACAAATAAGAGACATACTTTGCAATAAAAACTGCAATAAAGGACGCATTAAAGTAATGTTTTACCAAGTTTGAGAGCGGTGGAGACGCTAATTAACAGCTGAAGGGGTGCAACAAWGTGGGAAGTGACTGAAGATCACTAAGTCATTGTTGACGCAAAGTCAATCGACTGAATGACGCACAAGTAATACACCAGCACCACACCAAACTTYAAACTTTCTTCATATATCAATCCCACAATCCAAGTTGCAAGGTGTAATTTGTTATTACAGTTATTTTACTTTTTCATTCTCAGATCTACGAGGACTTCGAGCCCCTCAGCTTGTAGAAAGACTACAAGACCAGGCCCAGTCCATGCTCGGTGAATATTGCCGCTCGCACTATCCAGACCAACAGGTCCGTTTTGGCAAGTTACTCTTAATGCTTCCTTCACTAAGGGCTGTTGGACCTAAGATGATTGAGGACCTATTCTTCAGGGGAACCCTGGATAATGTCCCTATTGAGAGAATGCTCTGTGATATGTTCAAATCTAGTTAAAATGTGCYCACTTGCACAGAGARTATGGGACCAATCCTGATGGGACATTTACCTGAGGCAAACCACTGCACTTATATTGGAATAACTGTATAATATGAGAACCTATTTCAATGTCGCAAAAGAAAAAGATAGGATTGAATCGCACCACAAGGCCGACAAGGCGTTTTGAAAAACGTGAAATCCTGAACAAATTGAAATAGCCAATATGCACTCGTAATATTAGATGATTGATAACTAATAGGGAATAATATTAAATCAATATAATTTTATTGTACATAACAGGCTTACTAAAAAGATTTAGCTTGGATTTTCAGCTTTTATTTGTAGTTTACATTTAGTTAATGTTTCGCGTATATATATTACAGTTTAGATGTAACGTTTAGTGTTGTGCGTCGTTAGACATGCATTGGATCCAAATTCACAATTTAGCACAAATTTCTACGCGTATTTAATAAGGACTGTACGGYCAATTTTGCAAACTAACAGTTTTTAGCTCTTTTATTGGTATTTATGGCGTTTTAACCTTAAAGGCAACGCTAATGTTTTTGAAAATAGACAATTTTTCGCGTTTWATCACTGGTGCAACATGACTCGATTTTTTATTGTCATCCACTTTGCGGATGTCTTTTTTTAGTGTCATAAGAAAACTTAGCATAATTTTTATGTACGTTTTGATACTTTTTTAGGCTGCTTTTGTATTTTTCMCACGATTTTTGCTCAATAACATGCATTTCCTTTTGTCTGTACAATGCTGAGGTTGTACTTTTTGTATGCACTTTGTACAAGTCACGAAAGATCAAACGTTTTCATATTTCGGTAGGCAAGTTGCACTGATTTAAATCAGTATAATTTTTAAAAAAGAACATTCTTAATTCTACTTTTGACTTTTTACACATTGTTTTGTATCTTTAATTATTATTTGCAAATAAAYAAAAAACTGTTAGTTCATACTTCCAGCATTCAGCGCATTCAGAGAGAAAATGGTAAACAAGGCAGGTCAAACAGAGTAGCTAAACCAACTCTTTATAATACTAATATACTGATAAAATGTAGCCTATTTTAGTCATTGCTTTGAAACAAGAGCTTAATATGTATATAATAGAGAAATAAAAACAATTAAATGAAGTACATCTTTTGTTTGTTGGTTTTCAGTGAAATGGTTTAATTGCTATCATACACTAAAATTTAGCTAGCATAACATCACTTTGTACATCCAATGCAAGGAATACTTTTTATTTTTGACAAAAATGTTTATATTTTCTTAGTTTCACTATCTACTTTTTGTTTACTTGGTATTAAATATTTCAAAAATATGTTATTTTCAGACGCGCAGACGTATACTCTTGTTTTGCCTCACTTGACGATACTTAACATTAAATCGTAATTTTAAACATAAACTCAAGACAAAAGGAAGCACTAAATTCATGAAACAAATATTGCTAATTACTACTAAACAGTSTTGATTAGACAATAAAATACAAAGGAATATAAAGTCAGATTAATTTACCACATATATTTTGCTTTTTTTGTTTTGTTTCATGGATTAAGTGTTCACTTTCATTTAGTACTAACTATATTTAAATAATTCTCAAAATGGGTAAGGAATAACACCATGAAGTGTGAGGAAAATAAGTGATCAGTCTTGTCAAAGCAGAAAAAAAATACATTCTAGATTTCCACTGACTGTATGACCCTAGACATGTGAGAGGAATAACTGGGTAACGTGTAGCAAGGAATCTGTTCAATTATTTTGAATTCAGTAAGAATGAATGARTACTAACAATTTACTTCATCATAATGCTAAACCAAGTAGGAATCCTGCAGTAAAGCCACCAGCTGCTGCAACGTTTCTTTTTGCATATGCATAGCCCTTCATAAGAGAAGAAAGATATTGAATATTGGTCATCTTTTTATTTAAGGTATTACTTAATTTAATTATACCAGTCAAAACACTCTTTCATTTCCAATTGTCTCATTATGTCTTATGGACATTTTTCAATGTCTCAAAACTAAGATAATATTGAAGTTTTTGGAAATTGCAATACTTACCCTTTTAGACAATGTTATCAGTTTATTCTCATTACTACTTTCCCCCTGAGCTATTTTATAGACTTCCTYCTCAACTTCTTTACTAACTGTACTCATGTCCTTTTCAACTTTTTTCCAGTTTATTCTAATATAACCAGTGCGGTTMGCAATCTGAAGCAGASAAAATTAATCATTTCTGGTTTGTTGCTTACAAAATTATTRCAATAACTGCACAGTTAATGATCCATTCTCAAAATGGCACAAACAAAAAATTTCTCATGGAAAAGGTGCAGTAAATACCTGAATAATGAGAAGCCCTCCACCAACTGCAGACAAAGTTAACTTTCCAACTCTTTTACACAGGGTTCCCACAAGCCTGGAAATGTCAAAATCAGAGAGCTCACTCTGAAAATACTTATGATTTCAATAAAACAGAAGTGATTAGCTTTAAAAGCATGCTAGCATATAGACTAACCATCCTGAAAGGCCTCCTATACCAATCTGTTGTAAAGGAGTTCTGTGTACTAGATCCATGGATATCAATTCTGATAGAAAATCTTTCCCTGAAGCTCCAGGCGTTTCTATGATTTCATAGGGCTCGTCTTCGTCCTCATTCTGTTCGGGTATTTCTTTCAGAAATAATTGGATAAGTTAATTATTATCTAATCATTATCAAGCTAATTTTGAAAACGTCTGGTCACAAACATTTCCATAAGCTTTTACAGGTTATTATTTGATCGCGACCAAACCAAGGGTATTTCTTCAAAATATTTTGACAAACAATAAGTTWAAACATCATAAACCACTACTTACCTCCAGACATAACGTAAATGTGAAATCAAACTATAATAGAAGCAATGAAAAAACAACTTTCATTTCATCAGAATTTTTATATTAATAGTAACTCTGGCCAGCGGTTGAAAGGGACCATATTGGTAAACACTGGTAAGAGCCCTTGAGCTATATTACTCTTACTCCCTAAGCTCCGGCTTATGTCGTTACTAGGGACGCTGAAAGGTCATTAATTCAAAACTGTATGAATTTGTTCTCTTTTTATGCCGTTTATGTCTGATTTGGGCTAGAAAATGTAGAAATAATTTCACTTGACTTGTACAAACGTGTTTTTCAAGTTCTATTCTTTCAAAAAGGACGAGCAAATTTGATATTTTTGTGAAGTTGTCATTCCCGCCAACATGAGTGCACAACTCAAATACATCGTCGATGAGCTCAATAAAGAACCTTTTAAAAAGAACTACAATCTTATAAGGTAAGTTTGTCGTTATAAAACAAAATATATTAGWTTTTTTATCAAGAATTATAACGACATAAGCCAATACTTGGATATATATCGTAAAAATACAAAGTTGTTTTGCCGAAGTGCTGTTGCCATGGACAGCAAAATGGCGGCCATTTAAAGTTATAACCAGTAAACTAGTAATGTAACGTAAAACAGMGACTTTTGATATAAAAGGGTTACTAAAAATGATGATTCCACAAATATTAAATAACACATTTCTAAGTCAATATTCCTGTTGATATGTGTSACAAGGAATGTTAAATTCTTTATTTTGGGCTTCCTGTGGTGTATACCTTCATGTTATAACAGAGATAGAGATATAGAACTCCAAAGAGATACCCAATGATGTACAATAACATGTTTTGTGTTKTTTTAGTTTTGATTCCCTGCAACCTTTGCAATTACTTCAAGTGCTGAATGATGTGTTTGCAGAAGTAAACCCACAGGTAAATCTAATATACCATTGCAGACTATATGATAGTACATTTTTATCCCATCCAAAACCTTGAAACTCTATGATATGAAAAAAGAGCTTAATTTTTGTCTTGCTTATGATATATCCAGCATAAAATTGACCTCCGTGAAGAAGATCCTGAAGCAATGGCTGTGCGAATGTTTAATTTCCTTCGTGTGCTGAAATATAAACCAAAAACTGAAGCTGGAAGTTTGTAAGTATTCTGTGATTATCAGTCATCACCATGTCACTAGGCATCATCATCATCATCATCATAGTGTTATCACTGCCAAACAATACAGTCATCAAATTCATCAAACATCATTCATAAATGACATCATATAGTAATTTCCATTTAAGTTATTAATTTCATCCCTTCTTTTCTATTCTWTTAAGGGCTCCATTTCGTCAAGGCTTAGTTCAAGGAGAGAAGCAGGTTATATATCCAATCCTACAATGGCTTTTTGAACGACTACCAGACCTTCGTAAAAGAGCATACTTAGCCAGGTTCYTGGTTCGTATGGARATACCAGGGGACCTGCTAGCCGACCAGGAACTGTTTGATTTGAATGAGTCAGTAAGTACAACTTTGATGAAAGGAAATTAGGAATAACGAATGAGATCAGATAAGAGAATGAGAAGATAAGAGAATAATTTTGCCATATGTGGGATGATTTCTTCATTTGCACACATATTCTTGATGAAAAGCAGTTGTGTAGCAAAACTGTGATTTTCTTTTAGTATGCACAACTAATTGAAGAATTCAAAGAATGCCACAAAGAAGCAGAGCAGTTGAGATCATCAGGGTTTTCAGCATCAGAAATCAAAAAGGTAAATCTGAATGATAAGCTTGTTTATTTCCTTCTTAAAATTCTCTATCAATTCTCTATTTCTCCTCTTCTTGACTTCACTTTGTCTAATAATATACCTCCATTCTTTCTTTCCTGTTTTMTTTCCTTTTTTATTTCTCTTCCAGTTGTTATAAGATGTGCTRTCTTTTCTACTCACAAAACCTTAAGGATGGTTTTTAGTGCCATTATGCAATTAAAATGAAATGTGTGTTTTTGTTTGTTTATTTGTAATAGGATATTATGCACATGGAGGAAGAACATGGACAGCTGAAGAAGAGAATTGAACGAATGCAGAAAAAGGTAAACTTTTTGCAAATATACATATATTAGCTAGCCTCTAATTTTTGTACATATTTACTGTTCGTGTGCCAGATGAGTCCATGTCACAGTAATGATTTATAAAAGGCATTTCATATATTTGTGCAGATACAGACAGTGGAGTTGTAACAATAAAATTTGAAATAATTTTTTTTGTCAATTTATGTATGCAGGTTGAGTCTGTAAGAAACTATGAACAGATGTTACAAGCAGCAAGGAACCTCAGAGTGGAAAGAGAACARGAGTCATCACTAGCCCAGCAGAAACTTGAACAAAAAACACAAGTAATGAAAAATATTGTCCTCAATCTGTATTTCTAGAAGCATTCATTACTGATGAGTTTTCAGTCAACATATCATAAAAATGTTTCTTCCTTCATGTGATCAGTAWTGTAGTTATATGGGACATCATAATGATCATCATGACTAAGTATTCTATTATGTAATTTCAGCTCCTTCATGCTGATCAAAGATTCCAAAGAATGACACATCAATTAAAGGATCTCCGTGCTCAGGGTATTGGAACCACTGGCGCAGGTGTGTATTTTGCATGAAGATTGTTTTATCTATTCTTGAGAATTAGCTTACTAGATAAATTGAAATTATTCCAGATTTGATTAGAAGACTTGATGAAGAGAACAAAGTTAATGTTTATCTCTGCCAGGATAAACTACCCAAGGTATGATATAATTCACTTTCAAGGATTCTTTCAGTGATTATTCGCACAATACCTTAACATGTGCATTGAATGTGGATCATTAACTGTTTAAATAAATTTAGTACAAAAAGTTATGTCTATATCTACTTTATCTTAACCATATCATGTTCACAAATCATAACGATTAATATTCTGAAACAGGAGATTGAAGGAAAACAGAAGTATTCCAGAGATTTACAAAAAGTTGCAAATGAGCCAGCCATGGGACACTCTGACCTGGATGAGCTCAATAAGAATGTAAGAATTATTTTCAGCATTAAAAGAGCACATGTAGACAGAACAAATCATTAATGAAAGAGTCATGCATTATTTTTGCAGATTAAGACGTTATCTTCAGAGATCAACTCTTTGATTGAGAAGCGCATGGTACGAAACGACCCRATTGATGATAAACTATCATTATTCAGGCAACAGGTAAGATATTCTTTGAAATTATACTAGATGTTTGAGTGATTATTTACTGATTGTTTATATCAATTGATTGCAGGCTTCAATTATTGCTCGCAAGAAAGAGTCTTCAGCAGAGAAGCTCAAGGAGGCCATGGATGAGGTGACAATAAGTGAAAAGATCCAACTATTAAGGTTCCAAGGTTCTGATCACTTGTTCTTTTCTAGTGTTCAAGCACAGAAACTGAACTACAGAAAAAGAGAGATCTKCTCAAAGACAGTGAAGGTGCTGAGGTTTTAAAAGGCGATGAAGTGAGTTCCATTTCCCACTATTTACTTCCATTTCTTCCTATTATTATATATTGAGTACTTGACTACTATCTATATTCCTGTCATGWCAGAGCTAATGTACGAATTCCATGTTTGYTAGTTCAAAAGATATGTCAATAAACTGAGAGGAAAAAGTACAGTCTACAAAAAGAAAAGACAAGAGGTACCCTCCCCTATCCTTGTTGTATATATAGTGTAACTTTGTTTCTCTATGATGCAGTTAAAGTATATAACTGTTGTTTAATGCTATAGTTGGCTGAGCTCCGTGCAGAGTATGGAGTGCTATCAAGATCAGAAGAAATATTGAAATCAAAGTATGAYGATTTGTCTTCACATTTGGTGAGCAATTGATTTTGGAAAAATTGTTGTTTCAGCCCAGTGAACATTGATTTACAGTTATCATTGAACTCAAAAAACTCTTTTCTTTCTGTCAGTCAACTCTTGAAAACAAGCAAGGAGTGTCCGGCTATCATGATACTCAAGAAGAACTTGAAAAAGTATCAGCTGTCAAGAGTGACCTTGATGAACAAAAGGGAAAAACACTGGATGACATCTCAGACTTGGTAAGATATATCATAGAGTATTTTAGAACCTTTGCTTGTGATAGGTTTGTTGTGAATGTAGGGGAATAGAATTCATATGGATAATATTAAGATTTATTTGTTAATGTTTGCTCAGGTCGTTACTATGAACGCCACTATTTCTGAGAAGAAGAGTGCACTTGCTCCAGTTATCAAGGAACTRAGGCCAATGAGACAGAAATGCCAGGTATTATCAACTTCTAAAATCCATTCTATACCAATTGTTTGCAGTTTGTTTGATCTGGAATGATCTTTTTACAGGAAATCACAGAGGATTATGAGGAAAAGAAAGCACAATATGAAAACCTTGCTGCTGGTCTTGAAAGCAACTTGTCCAAACTAGAACAGGTTAGAACACCACTACTACTTAACCCCATCTCTACTGAGAAGTGGTAGTCATGACAACTTTCTTTCTTTTTAAAGGAGGTACGAGGTCTCCGGGAAGAGATTTCAAGTGAGGAAAGTCGATACCATTATCTGCAGTGTATGATGAAGGTATGTTTGTCATTCCCACTTGGTCTATTATGATTTTTATTTTTCCACTTCCACCATTGTTATGTTGTCATTTTACCATCCATCATGTCATTGATATGTAATATTCTAATTCATTGATCGTTTGTTGAATATCATTGTGAATCATGTACTGAGGTTTTGGTATTTAAATAAAGGTTTTGGAAGTACAGCAAAAGCGTATTGAAGATGAAATGAATGCCTATAGAGCWCAAGACCCTGCTGAGAGAAAGAAGTCATGGAGGTACATTCACTTATAATACAAGTACAGCAAGTATGTGGTTATCCTTAATGACATTATTACTTCCAATAAACAGGGAGCAGTATACAAAGAAAATCCAAGAACAAGAAAATCTAGGAAAGGTACATTTGCGCATAAATATTTTAATTAATAGTAATAGAAAATTAACTAATGTTTTGATATAAATTTATTCAGAGCCTTCGTGAAAAACAAAAGGCAGTACGAGAAAGTCACGGACCAAAYATGAAGCAAATGAAAATGTGGAGTGTAAGTGGATGCATTCATGTACTAYTTTACATCATGTTGGCAAATACTTCTTATGCAAAAAAAGTTGAAAGACAAGTAGAAACAAATGTCAGTAAATTTTCACTTTTGGTTTTCAGGATCTTACAAAGCTACTTGAATGTAAAAAGAACTGCCTTCTCAAGAAAGCTGGTGGAGAGTCTGTTAGTGCTGTACCTGCTGAAAGAGGAACTGTCAGTGAAGATGTCCTGGTTCTTTAGCATAAAGAGCATTTTTCTTGTCTTAAAAAAATGTATAATAGCTCTTGCATACACTTCATCAATATTGTGAAGTGCGGTTGATGTTTACCTGTACAAGTAAATTATTTATTTATGATTCATGTAAATCTTAGAAAACAAGGCATATAAAAGAATGCAACTGAATGCAAGTATGGGAACTAATGTTGTTCATGACAATTAAAGCTTTGAGTCTATGAAATGGTATTCTTACTTTATTATTAGATTTGAGGTAATTAACTAAATAGAACTAATTTGTTGTATTGTACACAATATCTACAATGACTAGTTCATTCAAGGTTTCAAGAACCATTCACAATTGAGAATGAAACAAAGCTCTTCACTAATCAGATTGGAGATTGTTTATCAAATCAAGGAGAAATGCTTTACGTTCATCATCAATTGTGATTAAGCCAAAAACATTTTTGCTCATTATGTGTAGTTGACTCTACAGACAAGAAAAAATGTATAACAAGGACAAATCTAATCAATTCATCCATACAATAAGATCCAGTTTTTGTATGGTCATGTACTTGCAGTACATAGTAGCCACAGAGTCAAAATGACACTCAATGATGGGTAAAATTGACTATAAATTGCTTTCCCTGCAGTTGACCTCGATTACAGATTCCTTGTCAGTATAGTTGGTTTCTTTGAAAATCTGTCCAAATGCCTTAATAAGGCATAAATGTAACTAATAAAAGGTTGATATTAAAAGTTATTTACATGAAGGAATATGCAGAACAAAAGATTTGGTGAACCAATGAATGAAGTAAGTCCACATTACACGAGTTAAGGCTATTACCTGTATGCATGTGTTTGTGTCATTTTGTTTCAAGTTTGTAACTTCTCAAAGACACAATGTCATCAATTTGATAGCTGGAGTTGTGAGTACTACCCTGCTAGCATAGGATTTTTTACTGTCTTCCCAATGTTTGAAGGAGAAATTTCAATAATTGATTCTTTTGGAGAGACAGTTATAAATCCAATGCTAGCAGGGACCAATATTAAGTACATTGTAATTWGGAACAAAATATCTTTGATAATTCTCTTCTAAAAAGATCTTAATTATCTGTTTTGTTGTATCTTTCCTACTCAGCTATTTTTCTCTTTCTGTAAACTATCATCGTTCCTGTACAAATACAGTTTCTTGGGGAAACAGCCCTGCATCTTTCAGTGTCACTGCGTAATCAAGATATGATAGTTGCTTTCTTGGGAAATGAGTTACTAATTCAAATCTTTCATTGGTGAAGCCCTCAGATTGTACAAACTGTACCAATGCCTACAAGAAGAGTCAAGAATGGTATTAGTCATCATGACAGCTGACTAAACCAAATTGGCTAAAACTTCCAACCATTAGGGTCTCCGACCCCACTTAGCTGTGCTTAGCCAGGCTGTGGACTAAATAGGATACCAAATGTATTTCTTACCAAAAGTGGAGCATCAGCATGTAGTGAGACCTGCTTCCTTCCACCATGAGGGAACCTTAACATAATCTTACAGCTTGGACCTACAAATATCAATTATATCATAACTATTAAATAAAAGCACTGGAATATTTTTTTGAGTGATTAGTGAATTTATAAAGCATTATCTAACACTGAAGACTGTCTTATCAGCTCCATGTCTTATCAGTTTTGTATTATATATAATTAGATTGTTACCTTCTTTCTCTTGCCATTGTTTATAACAATCAGTATTAGGAGAAATATTGCTACTTTTGGAAGACGATGTTGATGTAACCTCACTTGACTCTTTCTTAATAGTAACSTCATCATTACTTGAACTTGATGGAGTATTATTTTGAATGTTTTCAGAGTCTGTATTTGTATCATGATTGTTTTTAGTTCTTTTATTTGTGTCTATATCTTCACTGGAGTTTGTACTTTGTACTTCACTGTTATTTTTTATATTTGTARTAGTTTTTCCTTTTGATATTTTTTGTGGTATCCAAGACTCGCCATCACTGTCAGAATCAGTGAACTCAAGGTCATAATCATCATCATTTTGCTCATCATTGCTTGCATTATCATTGGCTGTTGATGTTGAGTATCGTAATGATTCTGCAATAGCAGCTTCTAGTTGAGAATCTTCTGATGCATCAACAATGGAATTCTGCTAAAACATTCAAAATGAAAATTCATTTGTACATCAAAAATGAATGTAATTATTTTAATACTTATGACAAGATTTTGCACAGAGTTTCATAATTATAAACTGGCCAGTTGAGAAGACCTGATATCAGATATTACCTTTTTAAGTTTTTTAGGTGGTGGACTTTCTTCTCCTAAGCCAGGATGCTCAACTAAAAACTCGGTTGCTAAAGACAAAAGATAAGATTAGTTATAGTGTATTTGCAACATGCAAAAGTGCTGCCAACATTAATGTATTTGCATACTTTTGTCTTCCTTAATACTCAATCATCATTTTGATTAATCACCAAATTGCTATTTTGTCTGTCAAGAGGCTAATTGGATTGATGGTGAGACAGAAGTAAGCAAATGCCTTGCGGTATCATATAATAAAATGATTAAATACTTACCACATTCATAAAATGCTTGTGCATCCATAAAGCCCCAACTTATTAGTTTTTCACCTAAACAAAACACAAACTTAATATCTTCACAAGATTGTTATTCATAAACATTTTGACTCTAGATGATCAATTCTAAAAAAACAAAACAATGTTTTTCACCTGTTCGTGGATCAACAACAGCAAGATGTGGATAGCTTGAAACGTGGTAAAACTGTATGAACCTCTCTCCCTCATCAGTATCTCTATACACCTGTATGTTCAGTTTAAAAATGTTCTGAGCTCAATACTGCAAAAATGGATCATTCTTTCATTTTAAAATAGCAATGTTTTTACTTGCATAGTTTTCCTAGTTTATCAAGTGTGAGGATATACCTGCCAAAGGACAAAGTTTGCTTTAATTATACTKCGGACTTGGTCATTACTCCAAACATCCCTGTTTAATTGTTGGCATTGAAATTCCTTGACATCTTGGACATTAACCAATAACCACTTTGACTGCTGCTGACCACTGACTTTTGCCTTATACAAAAACAAATAAGAAATGGCATAAGAAATATTAAATKAATAGATAAATATATTTAAATAATTCTATTGTATCACTAAATACTATAGATTTAAGAAGGAGAATTGAAAACCTAGCAAGACAAAACCATAGTAATAGTGTTTTGATGGAATTTTGACATTTACAGTTTCAAATGTTCCTTTGTGGAGAAGATCTATCGGAGGTCGGAAAAGGTCTTGTAATGTCCTCCGTTTGCTTGTTCCTGCTCCTGTTGATTCAAGTTCTTGTTGACCTACAAATGTAATGAAAAACATGAAATAATCATCATTTTACGATTCATTGAATTCAAGGCAGTTTGCACTTACGGGCTTCTGCTTGGAAATCTCTGAAAGCATCAAATACTGACTTTGAGGTTCTCTTCCTGTTACTAAATGCTGAAGAATATGAGGATTATCAATAAATATGATRACAAATGACCAGGCCACAATCATAAAAGTGTGATTTGAAATKAGGAAACAATGTGATCTTTCCTTGACTGCAACCACACAGACCATAGTTACTGTAAACAACAAATAGGAATGCGGGATTTGGATTACAGTCCAGTTTGGTTGTTACTAAGTGGCAAGTCATTCATTATCACAAGAGGGGGGTCATGTTTAGATGGAGGGGAGGTGGGGGGGTCAAAAACAGAATGTTAATAGGGGTACATTTTTCTTTTGTTAAATAATTTTGACAGGATGTAATTTTTGCCACAGACCCATAATGACTTGCTGATTTAAATGGACTAAACATCGCCCCCCTCTCAATAATAATTAACGATCAGTCTCTAAAATTGAATATCCTCACCCACTCCTCCCACATTGCAAATTTATCCATTCAATAATAACTTTTGTATCTTTTGTACACTGTTTTTGAACTTTGAACTACCACAAAGATTTCATTTTGTTAATATGTTAATGATGTCTAGAGATAAAACGTTGTTTTTACATACTAGAATAGGGTTCATCAACGAGGATGCCTCTTGTTTGTGGAATAGGAGCACGGACTTCATCTTGAACTACTCTAAAAATGGAATTTCAAACAAAAACATYAAAATTATTGTACAGTCTCTTGTTCCTTTTTGACATTTTACATCCTTTTTAGAAAATAAACAAAACGTTTTCTGTAAAATTARCAACACAGATACTTCTCTTTAAAATTTCTCTTAGTTTTATGGAAATCAATCAATATAAGATTATGTTCGGCCCCCGTTTGAACTCGGATCTGTGAATGATTGTACATTTCAAAATAGTTTCTTTAAAAAATGTATGAAATTTCGAAAAAAAATCAGTTCATAAAAAAGAYTATTTATAACATTGAAATATTCAAATATAATTATGTAGGTAAATTCATTTACCGAGACTGAGTTGAATCGGATCGGTGATCGGTAGATGAGGAAGAGGATATGTCTAYAGACTGCTGAGCGTTGTCTGCATTACTTGAACTACTGGCTTGCTCATCTGTAGCTCCTGAATCAAAATGCATTTCAACGGCCATTTGAAGATTGCCATTTGTTGCATCAAGAAGTGATCTAGCTCTGACCCTGTCTGCACCAGTCACATTCACGAATTCGTCGATCAAATTTGACCATCTCTCCGCCATCTTGAATACAACTAAGTAAAAACCGCGGGAAAAAGACAGATGGGGAGACTGGGAAGGACTCGTTCCAGCCCTCCGCCTTGGCCGTTTCAAAAAAAATAGGGAAAAATAAAATGTGAATCAAAGTCTAAAAATGCCAAAAGTAATTGCTTGAACAGGTCATATTTTTATTTTGATAACTAACATATCAGTCAAAATTTGTATCAATATGTTGATGAGAAAACTGGAGAAGATATTGTCGACAGCTATATCGCYTCACTTTTCTTTTACAGTAAGCCATAAATCATGTAATAAACCATTTGATCTGTAGATATCAATAGATTCAGTAAAGTTGTCAATAAATATCAACCCGATATTCGGGAGTCCGTCGGAAATACTTCGTATGACCATCGGAAGTCTGGGACCTAGTGACAACTTAGCGTTCCTCTTGTTGAATTTCTAACTTTGTTTTTGTGATAATGGTTGGAATACTTCGAGGTATTTCTTGTTGTCTTAGTGATAATCATTTGTAAATCAGAGCTCTAGTAATGWAGAAAGACGTTTCCATCATGAAGTAAATCTAYTGGGTGCCAATAATTCCAACTGGACTCGGAAAAGCAAATTTTCAGCAGTTCAAACAGCGCGTAAATTTGAATGATTAACTTTSTAGCTTTTTGGCAGTTTGGGTTTCGATTGTTTAGACTAGGAATCCACGATATTTGAAGAACAGTTTTTGAAAGAGTTCAATACCTTTCTATACAGCTTGGGCTTCTCAAGAGAATACGAAATTACCAGGTGAGAATGCTGCTAAGGTCAAACGTTAAGTTACTGTATAAAGTTCTTAGCTTAAGTTGTGACGATCAGAGAATGTAGAAAAGACTTGAAACTTTTATTATTTCCCGAAGTGCGAACTCATGAACTATTATATCTATAAGTTTAAGATCATCCACAGACTTACGCGTAATAAAAAGAGCTTGTTTTATTGACTTTTGTTTTCCTTTATTTTCCAACACAGTTAGTGTGGATGTTTGTATACAAGCCAATTTTGTGATGACGAGCTGAATTTTAATATAACAGAGTTTACACAACATGAAAAGTCAATTTCAAGACACAACTTTACTTCAATTTTGATATAATTTAAAAGATAAAATGTACAATTTCATAAAAAAGCTGTGAAAATCATTACAACTGATGATAGTATGCTTTGTTTGGTCAAAACAAATATATTTCAAAGACATGAAATAAACACATCACCTATAAGATATATTAAGCTTAATTACTCCACGATTCTTGTATTTTGATACCAAATGGACTGAAACTAAATATTAATTTGATAACTGATTACTATTTATCACTTTATATACTACTAGAAGCATGTTRTTGTGACCTCTTTTATGTGCTTATATAATACACAATTTCCCATGGAAAGGGAAAAAAAGATTTGAGTGTTTAATGCTTTAATTTCTTTAAAAAATTGCCATGAGTCTAGACAGATTATATCATGAGCAAAGCAAATCATCCAAAAATAGCTAATTACAATATGTTGCTCTTTGCATCATAGCTTTTGAACTAAGATTTGCTATTGCCAAATATTTCCAAGGCTGTTATTATTCTCTTAAACTACTAGTTATGGTATATCATATATATTTGCATAACAGCATAGCATTTGATATAAACATCTATCACCATTAATTATTCATAAAGATAAATCATTTTTTACCATTTTTCAGTCAGAGACACCATGAATTTTAGTTTTGGYAAACGGATTGAAGCTGTTGATTGGAGAAAATTAGGTAAGTTGAACTACACATTACATTTTACCAATATTCATATTGTACAACCTACAACTATATCCTGATTGCCTGTAGGTACATGGCATGCAAATGAACTTGATGTGAGATAAATGCACTATTTAGAGCTGATACTGCAATTATTATAATCTCTTCAAATTTTCTCTATCATTTAATCACAACTGTTACCCACTATCTGAATTGTTATTTATGGTGATGATAGTTGGAGTTATTCATTTTTCTTCAGACTTAGAGAATAGAGAAATAATAAAAATAAAAAATATTGCTTCAAACTAATGTATCCTAATTTACGTTTTTTCCAAAAAGAGGGTCTTAGACAAAAAAGTGCGAAAAGCTTTTTGAATCAGAATGTCACATWAACAACTAACTTCTGATATGGCACAGTCTATTGCATTTAATAAATGATTGTCTTTGATATTGCTATCAACTTTCCAAGTCAATAAGTTTTAATTGAACGTTATTTATAGGGAATTTGGAAATAGATAGGCCTTCATTGCTTCATTAGATTTATATTCTATCACTATCAGTATCGACARTATACTTATACTTAGATACTAGCACTAGCCATACTAAATAATATGTGATAATTATATAATTATTATAATCTTTTTTTTTTTCAGCTGCTGTAGACCTTGACCGGCTTACTCGTGAGATGGATGTCAAAACTCTACAGGACAATATTATGAATGTGACATACTGTAATATTGAAGCTGAATTGGTATGACATACAATATTGTGAATTGTTATAGTTTAGGAAGGATATATTCAGCTGAAAATGTTATGTATTTTGATTTARTCAATGAACAGAGATAAATTTTTCTTTTTCTTTTAGGGTATGCATGCTGTTGGATTTGATCCCAATTTCATCAAGTTGTTCAATCTAGCTCAGTTAATTATTGAATACCTACTAGTACGTACTCATTTCATTACTTAAGTTTATGATGAATTAACCACCTCAGTTGGTAGAACACTAGTCTAATATGCAGAGATTGAGGTTGAGAGACGTCTTAATCTCTCAGTGCCTCGTCTTCCCTGATCAGGATTTCATTTGATAATATTTAGACATTAATTTTCATTATTTTCAATAATATATTAAATTTTATTTTCTAGCATTCCCAGGAATATCTCTCTAGTAACCTCGAAACAGAAGTGAAAAAAGTTCAAGAAACTATGCAAGTGAGTGTCTTACTGCACACAGCATTACAACATCCAGTCTTAACTCTTTAATGCCAACACCAAGTGAGTGTCTTACTGCACACAGCATTACAACATCCAGT